ACCCCCAAGATGTTATTATCTGTTTGTTTGCTTGCTTGCTTGCTTGCTTGCTTGTTTAACTGTATTCTTCACAATAGTCCAGTAGGATCACTTTCTCTGTTACTTAGCAATAGCTGAGATCTTGCCACCATATATGGCAGCTGGGATTTTTGCTCTGGTGTGCATCTCTTTACACTTGCTTACATTGAACTGCATTTGATTCCCATTTTCCCAATTCATTTTTGGAGCACTTCTTAGCCCTCTTTTGTTCTAACCATCCTAAATAATTTGGTGTCCTCAGGAAACTTGGTCACCTTGCTGCTCATTCCTAATTTCAGATCATTTATGAATATGTTGAAATACAGATACCTGTGGAACCCATGAATTATACCCATCTATTGGGGAAGTTTACTATTTATTCTTACTTCCTTCTTCCTGTCCTCTAGCCAGTTACTCTAGCCATAAGAGGACCTCTCCTCTTCTTCTATGATTGCTAAGTTTGCTCAAAAGTCTTTAGTGAGGCATTTGATTGAGAGACTTCTGGAGGTCCAAGTAAACAACCCAAAAAACAAGCCATGGGTAGCTTTGTGCTCACAAACCAAGGTTCGCTAGTGTGGCTGGGTTCAGACAACATAACCCACACTTGAACAACAAGCCATGCTTCAGGGGTCGAGTGTGGGTTATCATGTTGACTGAACCCACCCAATCATGACCCACCAGCAGAAATATCTACTAGATGTCACCCATCCAGATGTTTCTCGACACTCTCAAAGAACAGTGAAAAGTTAGTAAGACATGACTTTCCAGAAGGCAAGCTCTTTTTCAGCAAACTGTGTCGTTCTGTATGTCTACCAATTTTACCTTCAGTGCAGACTTAATTGGATTAGGCTCTATTAGGTTTATAAAAGCTTCACATTGTATCTGTTAAGGATTACATTCTCTCTGTCCACCAACCAATGTTACCCATTTTTGTTCTGGTTTATTTTTTTTTTCCAGCCTAAAATACAACTTAAAATTAATACCCCAAGTCGCTCATATTAAAACTGCCATGCTCCTCTTCATCTAACACAGAACCTGTATATTTCACTTAAGGATGGAAACAGATCTAGATAAGTGTTGGATTTCATATTTTAAAAATATATGAATTAGCCACTGCATGTCATTGCACTAATCCTAGATGTAACACGAAACTTGCATAACACCTAAGCTCTCTCTGGCTCTTCCGTACCCAAAACATGAAGGGGAAAGAGGGGAACTGTATCTCAGTGATAATGTGCATGCTGGAAACAGGATGTGCAAGATCAGCTCAGTCTGAAGGCTGCTGCTTCAGCGGGTTGAGGGTTTTCTCCACGAGGACAGGAATGCTGGTCGGTCACACAGAGTGTACACGTGGAAGTCATTTTTCTCTTATGTCAGCCAGGGGCTGTTGTTGGCACACTCCATGGTGAGGCATGGTGCTAGCCCCACACATTCCCACTGGTTTCTTTGCATGTTTGTCTCATGGGTAGGGAACATAAGAATGGCAGTTGCTGCAATTAAGTCTGAAATCTTTGTCTACATTCTATCTTGTGACTAAACACAGATTTTGGGGCTACAACATTTTTCTCTCCCACAACCCTTTTCTTTGTTTAACATCCAGACTGATGAAGAGTTCTGGAAAATGTGCAAGCTTGCACTACATAATTATTGAGTTAGATTGAAACATATTTAGAATAGACCCGTTGAATCCAAGGGATATAAACAAACCATTTACAAATGAACTAATAATCACAATGACTGCAGTGAAAATAACAAAGCCTGGATCCAATTATTGTGATCGTTTTGCCAGTAATAATGTACAAGAGGAGTGTACAGCATCACTAGTATAATGTTGGCATAATCCACTCTTTTTAGTTGTATGAACATTTATTTGCTGATGAGAATATAGGATAGCAGTTCCCTGGCTTCCCATATCTCAGGAAGGATCCTCCATCCATTTTCAACAGAGAGAAGCAGCAATAATAATTCTGGCTCCTGTTTTTCCCAGCATCACCTCTTGCTGCGGAATAAGTATGCCAGCCTCAATTGTGCTGTTGTCCTCCCTTGCCAACAGGATGTACCAATGACCTAGATTAGTGGCTGAAACAGACACAATGATGTTAGGATTTGAAGAGCTATGAGAGATGACAAAACTGAGCTCAAATGCCAAGCTCTGTTGCAGATGCAATTTCACTAGCCTCTTTTGTAGCCTCTATTTCTCTGTAAGAGCTAGAGGCTAACTAAAGAGTTGCTAGTACTGAACAGATATTATTAGCAAATTAGATTTGATAGCTTTATCAAATTGGTATTCAAGCTGGCACTTTTCAGTCCGTGTGCTTCAGATTCTATGCTTGAAGAGTAGTGCTATCATTTGGAAGCCTTTTTCAGCTTATCTGGGGTTTCCTAATTTATATAGTAAATTTATTGAAATATTATTAATTATATGGATTTGGAATGAAATGGAATTCAGGATATTTGTAAATGCAAAGCAGCTTGAATGAACTTTTAAAAATAGTGTTTACTAATATACTATATCCACCTATCAAATCACACCGAATGTCATTAATTTATTTTTTCCTTATAAATGATGACACTTAAAAGAAATTTGAATATCTAATGAAAAATAAAGTTTTATTGGTTTTTGCCTGAAATTCATCTCTTGTTTTCAGCATCTGAATGCAACACACAAGTTCACCATGAGAAGAAATTCCTGTTCATAATACCATATTTACTAACAGCACAGTCCTATAATATCTACTTAGAAATAAGTGCCGCACAATTCAATGGAGCTTACTTCAAGGTAGTAGTTATACAACTGCATCTTAAGAGAGCAAAACTCAATTTATCCAATTAAAATTAAGATTTTACACATTGAAACTTGAGGGAGAACTCCCAAGTGCAAATGCATATTTTCACATGCAAATATAAATGTAAATTTGATCCTGTCTGTGAAAACTTTTTCCTCCCTTTTACTTCATGTTTTGATTCCATTCTTCATGAATGACTGGTACATTTCTTTGGTAGACTGATTGGACAGATCTGCCAATGTGCAGTCCATACTCAGAAGCAAGTCCTTTTATATACAGTGTGAATTATGCCAATAAAAGTAGGAATAAGAGTGTTGTCTGCATCTGCTAACTCCTGGATAATGATAAAGCTGCTTTGTGCGCATTTCATTATTTCTTTACAACGCTGGCAACTGATAGACTGGGAGAGCCAGGGCTGCTCTCCTGAACAAGGACCGTTGCCAGAGTTGATTTGATATTTGTTGCTTAAACAAAACAGCTGACTACTTTCAGTTACTATTAAATAAGACAAAGAAAGAACAGTTACAAAGGGTGATATGTAAACATATCAAATTTTGCTTCAAAGTGAAAATGTTATTGCAGGTTAGATAAACAAGCATTTTATGGAAAAATGAATTTTTAATTAATTGTTAAGGAGTGAACATTGCTGAAACAGATTGGCTAACTTTCTTTAGCAGGCATTACTTTTGAGAAATTATACTGAAATAATCTTTTGTCTGTTTTTTTTCTCCCCTCTCCCCCGGATTTTGAACAGAACCCAGTTTTCTCCCTCATACCCCACTCCCGCCACCTGACCCTACATATATTTCGTTGGATGGGTAATCATTTAAGTGGACCTCATCAAAACAGATTGCTGTATTTTACTTTCAGCGAAATATATATTTAGGACTGCGTTCCCGGTCCTCTGCGACGTGCAGGTTAATTTGGGTTGCACAGGGCTAAAAGCTGAGCCATTACAAAGAAACATTCATCACAGAGATTCACTGGGAGAAACATACGGGGTTAGCGGCGCGGGTGGGTGAAATTAAAGCTTATTTTATTTTAAAACCCTTGCAGGTGAATGATCTCACTGAAGAACCCATCTAACTGTATGAAATGTTTGCACAATTCTCCCTGCGGGTGGTGAAAAGGTGCCGCTATTAAGAGCCTGGACAGAGGAGGAGGCGAGGGCTGTCACAGCATCCTGCTCATCGCGTCCCCATGATGGACTTGTCGACAAATATCCAGCTGGCTAAATGAGCCCTTCACACATTGCCTTCCTGGCATTTTTCCCTGCCACAGCAGCTGCGGCGGCGGCGGCGGCGGCGGCGGGGCCACCTGCGCTGCAAGAGACCGTATTCATGATTTCTTCCCGGACTTCTCGAAACCAGGCGCTTGCAAAAGTGCCTGTCCGGGTGCCCGCCTCGTTCCATGCGCGCATTTGCAGGCACCTGAGCTGAGTTTTGCCGCTGGAGCAGGACGCGAAGCGAAGGGCAGACCTGGGGAGAGCGGGAGAGGGGCTCGCTTTGTCTCCCGGGCGGCTGCCTGGAGCGCCCGCGTCCTGAACGAGCGCTGGGGAGAGATACGGATCTGGCGTGACGTCAGGGGGGTCTGGTGAGTGAGCTGCCTGGAAGCGCCGCCAGCGCTTCGGACTTCTGTGGCAGCCCGGGCGGCGGCGGCGGCGGCGGCCTGGGCAGACAGGAAGGCTGCGGGGCCAGCGGCCGGGAGCCTCGCCCGCCCCGAGGGTACCGGCAGCCTGGCCGAGGCGAGCGCGAGCACTTGGGGCAGCGCGCGCGGGGGCGGCGCGCGCGCTGGAGGCGGGGCCGGCGAGTAGTCGAGGGGCTCACGGCGACTGAGTTGGGGGGCAGGGCGCCCGGGGCAAAGGTCGGGGCGCTCCAGCCCGGGAGGGGCTCAAGTGGCCGCCCCGAGAGGCACGCGGCGGATGCCGTGTGCGCAGCCCGGCAACGGGTCCCCTCCGCTCAGTGGTGCTGGCACGGGCCGGCAGGCGCTCCCGGGGTTTCTGGTCGGGTTCCCTGCAGAGCTTAAGGATGGAAGCTGGGACTTTGGGCGTGCAAAGCGTGTGCCCTGGCCCTGAAGGGCCCCCTCCTCCTTATTGTACGGATGAGCATCTGCAGAGTGCAGAAGCACGCTCTGTTTCAGCCCTGTGGGCACTGTGTGCCACTGGGTGAGTTTGAAATGCAAAACTCTGCATGCTAAGAGTGCCGCCGCCGTCGACTTCTTTTTGAATTTAGGGTAGGTGGATTTGCTGCTCCAACATATCAGGAACATAAAAGACATTTAAATAATGGTGGGACAGTGGGAGGGAGGGAGGGAGAGAAGCCCTCAAGTCCAGGGTCTGGATGGGGGATTGAGGGGCAGCAGGGGTGTGAGAGGAGGTGCGTCCAGGAGGACAGAGGTGGTTCTGGACTGGCGAGAGACAGACTGATGAGAGGGGATGAGGCAATGAAGGTGGCCTGGAAGAGTAAACCTGAGCCAGCTGCCTTGCTGTGGCTCCTGTAAAAAAAGTGATGCCAGCATTTACCACTCATACTGAGTCACATCATTGGTTCCTCTGTCTCAGTACTGTCGTCACTGGCAAAACCTACCCAAGTTTTGGGTAGGAAAACTGGAGATGTCAAGAATTTAAATGTGGGACCTTCTGCATGCGAAGCAAGCGCCCTATCACTGAGCCACGGTGCCTGTTCCAGAGACCTTGTCCAGGTATGGAATTAATTTATATGGGCTTGCACATTTGGGGACTGGATTAGCAGCATTAACAAAACAGTGCAGATACAGGAGTGAGTGAGCTTTCAGCCTTATTCTCAGGCATAGAATAAGGAGTGTTTTTGAGTATACACAGAGTGCCCTTCCTTCACTGGTGGCCACTCAGCACATCTGTTCACAGTTGTTCCTGGGCAAAAAGTGTGTTTTATTTAGGCTTGATTGCCAGCACCTCTGTTTTAATGATAGGAGCAAAAGGCAGCATTAGGGAAAAGACCGTGCAGGTCTGCAAGTGAAGACCGGCAGAAGGCAATCGACTTTAAATGTATTTTGGGTCGTGATGATGATCCATGAAGAACCTGCTGTTGCTCCAACACACCTTGCGGTTGGAAAGCTGTCATGTCAGTCAGCATGGTGTATAAATATTGGTCAGAGAGAATGAATGGTACTTTACTTCTGTTTGCAGACGTGGGGGGGCACTTTGTGCAAACAGTTTACTTACCTGGTGTCCTCCGTGTGGTGTATATTGTTCCTACCTGTTGAATAGGGCACAGTTATTAAATTAGCACCCAATTTCTGCCTGTTTGCTAGTCAGAAATAAGGGGACTTATGAAAGGAAGCGTGAAGGGAATCATGAAAATGATGCTGGGTCTTGTTCCTCGCCCTGCTGCTTGTCGCTGCTGGGTGCTTTGTTCTTTGTAGTCCAAGTCCAGACAGCAGATGCACTGCCTGGTCAGTGTTTGTGCCAGGAGTCTTGGAAACAGGTAGATGTAAAATGGTCAGAGGAGACAAATGTTAGTAATGCGGTTTTGCTGCGTTTGTTGTTAGCCTTTTTTCTTTGTTAGCCTTGTTTCTTTTCTTTAAAAGTTGGTTTTCCAAAATGGAATAAGCAGTGACAGCTTAGAACTAGGGATATTGTGGAGATGGCAATTGGGGGCAACAATGTATAATCAAGAGGAAATATTTATGTCCTGAAGGAATGTGAACTAATATTTGTACCTAATAAATTTGTGAACTAACACATTTGTAGGTTACAAATTTATTGGATACATGTTTGCTCTTCATGGACAATATTGTAAATTGTATTTTTGTCTAGTGGACTGTGTACAGAAGGGTTTGTTAACTTGAAGTGGGTGGCAATTGGCATATGAAGCCAGCTAAGAAATACCTAGTATTTTTACTTCTTCGGCCATCATATATAGTAGCATGTATACCTACTATATTTCTATATGTCTGGATGCCTTTCATCTCTGGCTTTATTTTAAATCTTACTTATGTGGATTTTGTACAGTTTGACTTGGACCCAGGATCTATACTCCATGTATAGACGGACTCTGTTCACTGAAAGTTCCTTTCCCATCGCACCCCGTGCCACTTTATCTGCATAGCTCAGCTCACCCCTTTCAGCCAGAGAAATACCCTCTTCTGTATAATAAATTGGAATAGTACCACTCAAAATAATTATGAGCGCTTGGCTGGAATAATAATTTATGATTTCCTTATTGAGTCCAGAAAAACAGTAATTGCAGATTATAAGTAGATTCCAAGCACTAAAAAGCCATTGATCCCGCCTTATTATACCTGGGAATGGAAGAGAAACAAGCAACTCTTAGTTTGATGGTCGCAATTTAGGATGTATGTTCTCCCTTAAGAAGACTGCCATGGAAACAAGATGATACTTTTAAATTCTGGATTAGTGTTAAAATATCCTTTTTTATATTTGCAGTATAAGCCATTACTCAAGGAAAAATAAACCATGGCTTGGACTGAGTTCGGTGTCCTTAGTTGGCTCAGAGAGAGTCGACAGTCCCGGAAACTAATCTTGTTGATTGTCTTCATTGCTCTGCTCTTGGACAACATGCTGCTTACTGTAGTTGGTATGTAGATTTCCCCCCAGTTCTACATCATATTTATTTATTCAACAATCTTTCAAGCATACAGACAAAAATGTGTGGCATTTCTCTGAAAATGCAACTGATTGCTTTATAAAGTATGGTAGTTATTTGGAACCTAGTTCGAACATTATCTGAAATTTCATATTACTGCAACTGTTGCGACAGTTTTGTTTTTATGTATAATTGTACAAACTATTGGATGATGTTTTGGATAAAAAGCTGTTCTAAAGTCTAACATAATATTTGTGTCTAGTTTCTATAAGTTTTCTCCGTCATGATTTTGCAAACAAAAACGATAAGATATGACTTGAGAAATATGCTTCCTTTTGATAGTTTCATTTTATCATATTCATTTTCATGAGATAGAGGGTTTCCAGGGCCATATTTAGTCATTCTATATTATGAAAATAGGAACACATTTAGAAAACTTGCAGAACTACTTGTTCTTAACCAGCATTTGTCAGAGAGATAAATACTACATCCGCTTCAAAGTGGAACACTATTTTCTTTCAGCAGTCTGTAACAAATACATGTAGGGCTTGGCTTCACAAGCTCTTTTACCCCATAATGAAATTCTCTCAAATTAGTATGTTCCTGAATCTGTTTGAGTTGCTTGTCTACTCATAGGAGCAAGCAATTCCATGCAATAATGCAAGAATTATGCTTTTCTGGTGAATTAATCATGGTTGGCCATTTGCTTACACAACTAATACCAAGGTTCTCCTGTAACAAGGCTGCAAAATAAGGGACATTTTCAGTATGCACTAAAGATGTGGGGAAGCTTTATTATATTGTGAAAATGCCATGAAGCAGCATGGCAATAAAAACAATGCACAACATCAACCTCAGATTGATACCACAGATCTGATTATGGCAATGTAATACAATTCCTGTAGGTGCATTTACGTATCTATGCTAGAGTGAATAAAGCTAAATTATCTGATTGATAGATTGATTCTGAAAGCTGTTGTCAAAAGTGTGAAATAAATAATTAAAATAGCTGTAAGTACAATTTTTGAAATAATGACCAGTTTCTAAAACATAAATCAGATTAGGTTTTAAACATGTTATATCAATATGATCCAAAAATAAGTTTATAGTGAAATCTTAATTTGTTACAAGCCTGTTAGATGTCCACATGCAGTTTGGTCTGTTGTCAAATGCACTGGCTAGTTTCAGATGTAACATGGAACCATATTTTGTGTGTAACCATAGTTACACGCTGTAGTTTGAATTTCCAGGTGTATACAATTCAAACTGCAATTTACAGGTCCTTTTCACATATATTTCCATCTGTTCTGAACTGCATCCTGGGCATAGTATGAAGCCAATGTCCATAATGCCAATGCCCAATGTCCATCAGGACCTAATCCTGAGTTGTCAGTGGTCTGTAAACTGACAAAAGAAATAAGTGACTGAAGTCACATATCATGCTAAACCATGATTATTTCATCCATATTTTTTTTTTACTTTTCTGTTCTGCCTAGCAGTCAAAGATCTCTGGATAATCAGCAAAATTTAAAGTCCTTACAAAAACAATATTGGACATAGTATAAAGCCATGTATATATAAATGGGCAACACACACACACACACACACACACAAAACTTAAACAATTTCAGTAATTGACAATAAGAAATCCCAATAAGAAATGATGTTATGTGGCTCTCCATAGGAAGATTGCTGAGCCTCAGTGAGGTTTGGATGTATACACTCTTGCATTCTTCTTCCATGCAGCTGGAAGCAGGATTTTGGAAGTGTTTGCTTTCTTTTAACTGCTCTCTGTTATGCCAGCTGGGAATGCTAACTATGGTTCATTTCCAACAACCCAATTTCAAATCATGCTTTCTGAAACTGTTTTGTTAAAATTAACCATAGTTAATCTTAGGCAGAGTTCTTAGTTGGAAGACAGGGAAAGCTTGTGCATAAGGGAAAGAAAAAGAAGAAGCTTCCATACATAGGTTGGCCATGCAGGAGGAGCAAAGAAGGGGTGGTATGCAGGAGCGTAGGATTTGCTGTAGTTTAAGCCCATTGTGCTAAATCAGGGCTTTCTTGCTTTCCTCCAGGGGTGGGGCTTCCCACCAAAGAGTTCCTGTTGGGAGAAAAGTTATGGTCTTGCTCAAGCCTGGGTTTGACAGGTTGGGGTGTCACTGCCCTACCCATATAAGCTAACAGGATGCTCATGGCTTGTACAACCAGAGAGGAAAGCTCCTTTATAGCATAAAGGTTCTATTGAGGTGCAAAGCTTTATGTAATAATAATTGTAGCTAACAATCCATGTGCCTGCTTGTTCAAAAATATGTGCAATTGATAACTGGAAGGTAGTTTTAAACTATGCTTTTAAATTGGCTCACTTCTGCATGGCAGTTTAAGGCTATTCTAATCTAAATTATCTCTCTGCCACTCTGTTGTGAGTGGGCTGTTAAACTTTGGTCATACCAGGTTTGTAATAGTACCAACAGAAGCTTGTTGTGATACATTTAAAAGGCACTGTGAAGATAAAGTCACTTCAACTTGATGTTATTCTTGATTCAGCTCCTGTGCACTGTCGTCTGGGTTATGGGATCAGTTTCAGTTGATGTGACTTGAAGATGTGGACAGAGTGCTTGGAGGTGTGACCAAATTAGTGTTTGCAGGTTTACTCAACTTAGCTATTGACAGCTAGTTGAAGAGGTTGACTGGATGGGTCCAAGAGATAATTAACGGCTCTTTAAGAGTGAAGGCAGTCCTAGCTGCTTTGAATGAGGCTGTTGTGCAGCTACTTCTTAATAAATCCTTTTTAAATCCAGGAAATTTTGGTAACTGTCACACAGTTGCTATGAATATCACCAAGATCTTGGATGGCATCTCAACTCCAGAAACTTTTGGATGACATAGATAATGTTGATGAATTTCACTGTGGGGTTAGAGCCAGTTTTGGAACTGAAATGGCATTGATCTCCCAATGCCATTATATGAGTGACATCTGTTAGAGGAGAGATGGAGAGAGTGTGATCATGTTGATTCTCCTAGCTTTTGATAGCATCGGCCATGGTCTCTTTCTGAACAAATTGATGGTAGAGCCATAGTAATTCAGTGGATCCTATCTTCAGGGTCAGTTTCAGAAGACTGCACTGGAGGAGATGTGTGGCTTTTATACTGTAGGGTTCTGTAAGGTTACATCGTATCCACCATACTTCTAAAATTTTAGATGAGACTGTGGATGTGGTTTGGATTGAAGTGTGATCAATATACTGAGGATAGCTATTTCTTCTGTGTGTTAGAGTCAGGAGAGGCGTCCACAGAATCCAAAGCACCTCCAGTCTCATGAAATGCCCTCAGTATTGGGGAGGGTGTGGAATTTACATCACTTCTGAGCTGGTATAATTTCCTTCCCATTCCTGCAATGAATGGGAAGTGGAAGGAAGGAAGGAAGGAAGGAAGGAAGGAAGGACAGTCACTGATGAGAAAATGAAAAAGTGTATATGGGTCTGACCTGCCAGGTCATACCAGCAAGACTTAGGATGTTTTGGGGGCTCCAATGTCAGATTATTCTATTGCAAGCTTAAATTAAAATTCATAAATTATAGAGTTGACTCTCTTCTGGGGTTTTATGTAACCATCACCAACACAGAGACACACAGAAGTGATAACATACAGTAGATTTCACTAGGCTGGCATATATTTCTAGTTGATAGAACTGAAGATATTTGCCAGAATAGATTATTTAGTCTTATATTCAGGGAAACTTTTTTTTCAGAACAAAAAGCTAGGTCTGTCCTCATTATGGAGGGCCAGCCAGTTCAAAATAGTGAAATAATCTCAAATAAGTTTGGCTTTGATACACAACTTTCCAAATGGTTTAAACTTTGTTAAACTTTCTCTTCTCCAGTTTTCCTAGCTGTTTCCAGTGCTTTGCATCTTTTTCTATATAGTACTTCCCAAGTGCTATTTGAATAGTTATTAAATAGCACCCTTTTATGGCATCGCTGCCACTGAAACTGCTCTAACAAAGCAGCACAGAGGCTCTAAGGTGTTAGTATTCCTGGGTGTTTGATATTATTTTCACATAAAATTACAGTTTTGTTCTTAAATCAGTTCTTTATCCCTTTGTAAACATATTGCCATATCACTAGTTACACAGTCATGTACATGCTGAAGGCCTTTCTTTTATCTCAACACAAATGTTTCCTGAATAAATATAATAGCTGCCACAGTAAAATGAGTCAGACATTTACAAGACATGATACATGTAACTGGCTACCTATTTTGTCACTAATATTATTCGATAAGCAGTGTCTCACCTATTTTTATTGCTCTAAAAGTTCTCATTTCCTTCCTAAGTAATTAATACAATTAGAATGCATTTAGGTTCTTAAACCATATGAAGAATTTTATTTGATCCTTTCTGCTTTATTGACTCCTAAAGTAATAGGGAAATGTTTAAACATCAGTATCTGAGTTCAAGTGGGTTAACATAAAATGAAATGTATTTCTCCTCAGGATCACTGAACTGTATTAATAGTAGCAATATACCTCATCGTTGCATCTACCTTGACTTAAATACAGTTCTGCTGCATACATTTATTATTGTTAGTACAATAATTATAGCTAATAAAGATTTATGGGTTGGAGCCAGATGAAGTTAGTTGCGCTTAGGTCCCATTGACATCAATGTGCAATGTTAGCTATGATGTCCTATTGATTTCAGTGGTACTAGGTGAAACTATATTATTTTGGTTTCAATGCTAAATATGTCACTTGTTTTCCTCTTTCAGACATGTTTTATCCAAAGATTAACATAAGGAATTTTGGAAAAATACATCTAGAAAGAGAATATAATTTAATAAACACTGCCTGAAACCTTTAATAAACCTGAGTATTAACACAATATTTGCACTATAATGCAAGTAAAAAAAATTAAAGCAGGAACAAAACATAGATACTCTTCAATATAAAAGAAAATCTTATTTTCATAAGTTATTCCCCATGTTTGTTATATGAGTGCTTCCTTTCCGCAAGGAGATGGAAGATAAGAGGGATTCCTTTGACCGCATTATGAAAAGCTGGTACCCCTTGACTATGGAGGTACTTCGGCACAAGGAGATCTGACTGGCACCAGTGCTATATTCTTTTAGATGCCAGATTAGGTATTGATATTTCCCTGGGGCATTTGCATTCATTTATAGCTTAATGTTTGCTCAGGTCTTAGCAATTTCATAAATTTCTTTGTTCCTCTTAATTTTATGGCTTGATGTTTACTGGGTTTTATATTACACTGTTTTTGCCTCTTTTACCTTTATACAACAATGTGGAATCTAATTTTTCTATAAAGGATAATCTACACATATTGAAACAAAATAAAGGATTGTTGTTGTTGTTGTTGTTAGTTACAAATTCGTGTCTGACCCATCGCGACCCCATGGACAACATTCCTCTAGGCCTTCCTGTCTTCCACCATCCCCTGGAGTCCACTTAAGCTCACAACGACTGCTTCAGTGACTCTATCTAGCCACCTCGTTCTCTGCTGCCCCCTTCTTCTTTTGCCATCTATTGTTCCCAGCATTAGACTCTTCTCCAGGGAGTCCTTCCTTCTCATTAGGTGGCCAAAGTATTTGAGTAGTATATGTATTATTTTAATTCTTGGTTTTAGATGATGAAATACTTTTCATTCAAATTAAAGTACCACGGAGTCTCCCTGATGTGCAGAAATTGGCCTAGACATGGTTTCTGTTCCCAGTTTTCTGGTTGTCTCTACATTCTCAAGCTTCATCCATATCAAATATAAGATAATTTGGGGGATCCCAAGAGCACTGTACATCTCTTCTGCCTGCTCTGTTATGCCAAAGAGGGAGAGCATGTATGGGTCTTTCCATTGTTGGAATATCCTACCAGTGGTTAAGGTCTAGAAATTGAAATGTTGAGGCTCAAGTTAACTTGGGATTGAAATTACCCTAGATAGGAACTGGATGTCCTTCTTGTAATACCTAATTTAAGTAGGGACTCTATTTTCTTGTTAGCAAGATAAATAGTTCAGGAACAGTTTCATCTATTTCTCCTATGTTTCAGTGTTAGGCAATCTAGTGTCCTCAGACATTTTGGATTCCACCTCCCCTAAGACTTGGCCAGTATGGCTAAGGGTCAGAGATTATGGGAGTTGTAGTCCCACACATCAGGAAGACATCTGGCTGCATCAAAAATAGACACAGAGCTGAACTCTAATGAGTTTTAGTCCTAATTGCCTAGTCCATGTTGAAAAATAAAGACATGCCCATAATTTTGGAAGTAGGCAAGATAAACTTTTTTCTTTCTCTCCAGTCCAGCCCAGTTTAGGATGCAGTTCTGAATTAGCTACTCTTCAATATTTCTGTCAAAAAACAGCATAGTCTTTACTCATATATTTTGATATTGTAATGGTATAATCTTGTGTTTATTTTTGATACTACTGTAATGGTATTTGTCTATCTCTCCTCCCCCTCATTCTGCTTGCTTTTTCAGTGCCAATTATTCCCAGTTATTTGTACAGCATCCAACACCATCAAAATGCAACAGAAATACAAACCATTAGACCAGATACACCTTCATTAAACCTAAACAGTTTCCAAAGTATCTTCTCCTATTATGACAATTCTACAATGTTTACTGGAAATCGTTCTGAAGGGACAAGACCAGGAGATTTTTATCGTAGTCAGACAGAGCCAATGGTTGTAAATATAACTAAGACATCACCACCACCACCTGACTGCCCCAAGGAAGACAAAGACTTACTAAATGAAAATGTACAAGTTGGTTTGCTGTTTGCTTCCAAAGCAACTGTGCAACTCCTCACAAACCCTTTTATAGGACCAATGACAAATAGGTATTATTTTTTCCTGTGTTCTCATTTAATACTGTTCTGTCATGTGTACTGCACTTCAGACAGAGATTTGTCTCCTTTCTTTAGTCCTATTGCATTTATGTCTGTTGCATTTATAGAATGCTTTTGCTCATATATTTATTTGAAGAATGAACCTATAATATTCTGCTAGTCGCAAGGGCATCTCTAAAGTGGTTGTCACTCACTTGAAATTATTTTCAGTTTCTTTCTTTGCTCCTTGAATAGTACCAATCTGTAAAAACTTTTATGGAAATAATGAACTTATTTTGAAACAGTGCAAATATTAAGAGTATGGGAATGAGAAATGAAAGTTGTAATGGTACCATTTGATTGGAGAGGCTTTTCACTTTACCTTTCTGCACCACATAAAAAGAAGTCATCATCTTGCTGTTTATCAGAAGCAGAGGGCTACTTCATTCAAAACAGATTTGAAATGTAGGAGTGGGAGTGAGGGACAGGCACACCTTTCTGGCCAGTGTTTCCACTTTATTTATTCTAAAGATTTATGTGCCACCTTTCTGGGCAAAATCTTTTCAAGGTGGCTTGTTTCAATAGACCTCATCTTCAGGATCATGGGTTGGCCAAACCAGGAACAAAAATGGCTGTTGCCGATGGTGTAGCTCACCTTTGGCAGAAATTTATACTTTTTACCTCAATTTGTTGAAAACCGATTCAACTGACAAGGTGAAATGAAACTAGCTTCATCTGAAAAAGAAGTGAATGAGGCTGATCTTCCTGTCCTGGTGGGCCACTGCACAAGAATGATGACTCAGTGACATAATCACAGCTGTATACTTTCTTAGCATCAGTGGAAAGTACACATGGTTTTGACAACAAAACCAAATGCAGCAATACTAACAGCTACTCTTACAGAGTCCAGCCCCTATGGAGTCCTGGGTGCTTTGCACACTTGTTATTGTCTGTTTGTAGCTGTTTTAATTTTTGCATTTTTCTGATTTTCTGATGTTTATATTGCATTTGTATTGACTGTTTTTATGGGTTGTTGTAAACCACCCAAAGTGCTTTGGCTGTGGGGTGGTCTAGAAATGAAACAGCAGCAGCAGCAGCAGCTGTTGTTCCACCTACAAATCATGTTGCTGATTGCTCATGCCAATTAGCAATGCATGAAAAGTACCGACCAACCCATAGCAACTATTGGAATGCCGTAGTGATCCTACTTTGCCCATGATCTTAACCTGAGAATAGACACACTCTGCAAAACACAAATGCTTGATGATATATTCTGCCTATCCATCCCTGAATGACCATCATTTTGTGGAAACTGATGGACACTTGTAACACTGCCCAGAAAGCTTCTGCTACAGGGTAGTATAGAAATAGTTAAGAAATGAATGACTGAATAAAATAATTGAGTTTCACTGAATTTAATAAATATCATTTAGTAATACTGTTGACAGCAACAGTAGTATTATTGTTAACCTTGTTGTTAGATCAGCAGTAATGAGCAATTTACATCCAGTACTGTTGAATTCTGGATGTAAAGCTTACTCTACATGTCATTATATTAAGCAGATAAAAGGGTTGCTTTAGATGCATTAAATGATGTTAAAATGAAGGAATATTGTAAAGCATTTAGAACATTCCAATATGCTATTTAACTGCTAAGAATTGTGGTTTTTAATATGGCATTAGCAGAATGTATAGATTAAAGCTTTAAATAAATAGTAAATAACTTAAAAACAACCACATCAATACAGGTTTAGTTTGTTGAGGCTAACAACCTGATTCTCAGAATGTAGGAGCTTAGCTCAATACATATGTATGTTATAGAACAGCCTGACATACAGACAGAATAGTTGTAAATTCCTTCCTTTACTGATGAGGATTATGATGAGGATAATAAAAGCTTTCTGGGCAGTTTACAACATTAGTCACCCACCCAAATAGCAACCAGGCTTCCAAGAAGAGGCAGGATGAGGCACTTCAGATGATATGAAAGTTTTAGAAGCAGATCTATCTACAATCTGAAGAGGTGTGCTGGAAGCTAGATGGTAGAAAAATGGAAGACTTGACTGAAGTTGCCTTAAAATTGTCTAAACTCCAACATGCATGTTTTAATACATGTTTTACTCGTTATCTAATGCACTGTAGCAGGCTTTTCATATGTATATGTTAGCATGCTATTTTCCTCAAGTTTTCTGAAAAGATTGGGCACACAATGTTCATTTTTTAAAAGGTTTATGAAGCCAGAACCGATAAAACAACTTGCATGCTACATGAATGATCTAACCAAATTTCAGCATCTGCTGGTCTCATCCACTTTAATAGAAACATGTTTCTGCACTCTCCCCTTGAAAACTCAAGTTTTTAAAGTGCTTAACTCTGGCAAGATCTTGTAGTTTCCTGTACTTATAACTGTGCTATTATTTTTACTAATTTGCTGCAACTACAGTGAAATAAGCAAATTTGCCCTATGATAATAGAGAGGACTATGGGAACCTGAGTTGTGGCAAGTATTTTCTTTCTGCCCACTTTATTTTACGGCAGCACAACATGCATCAATATGAATATAAGTACTGGATCAGACCAGGGGTTCATGTAGTCCAGCACACAGTGGCCAACCAGTGGCCCATGGAAATTCTCAAGGAGGGTGTGGGTGCAACAGCACCTCCTGTCCAGATTCCCAACCAATTGGTAAACACAGGCAAATTGTCCCTTGTACTGAAGGCAGCAAATGTCCCTTGGGACTAATGGTTTAGACCATTCTGTGATCTTGTTAATGCACATTCTCATCATCAGACAGTTTAGAATCTTGAATCCATCTTGTCGTGCAGTCTTTGTACGTATGTACAATGCCATACATTGTACAGAATGCCATACATTGTACAGAAAGCTGCCTGGTTTCTGCAATACTTTTCAAAGTTAGAGATAGACCTTTAAACAGATATGGTGGATTCTGAGCTTCTTCACATTTTTTGAACTTTTAGTAAGAAGTAAATTTGTATATCAAATGGCTATGATGAGAAATTTATTGGTCCAAAGCTGGCGATATACTAGAAAAATAGAAATGTAATAATGATAATGATAATGATAATGATAATAATAATAATAATAATATCAGGTACTTGAAGTATTCGTTATTCTGCATCTGAGCATCCATTTCTGCCTCTTCTGGTCCATAGTGGGTGATGCCTTAGGGACAATTAATATTCTGAGTACAACTGATTCTTTAGTATTGCTGCAGCCAAATTAGCTCATCCTGGAGGAGAAACAACTGGGAGGCAAATGTAAATTGCATTGACCTTTCTAAATGAAGAGTGTTTGGGGCTTCCTAAAGGAAGAAACAATTATTTTAAAACAAACATTTGAAGATAGGGAAAAGCAAAAATAACAAACCAAAATATTATGCTGGTTTTGTTTTCCAGAATAGGCTATCAGATTCCCATGTTTGCTGGCTTCTGCATCATGTTTATTTCAACAATTAGTAAGTACTTTCCCCCCTCCTGCCTGCGTCCTCAAGTGCCAGGGTGTGGGGAAGGTCTGAAAGGAAATGGTTTTTTATATTGCTGAACCTGCTAATTTCAGAGTAATTAGATAACCTTTTGTTCTGGAGCTGGTTGAAAGTAAGAATGGAGGAACTGAATCACTAATTAGAAAAAACTGAGAAAAATTACTCTTGTAACCTAACTTTCTATAACAATATACTATTTAAAAATGGTTCTGCTTTTTGTGTATCTGTAATTGTCTATTAAGTATTTTAATAGTAAATTTTAATATTTTAGAATGTAAACTATATATCAAGTGGTATACAAACATTAAAAATAAACAGGTATACATGTGATCCTTAATAACTTTCATTCTGTTCTCCTTGTCTAGTCCAAACTATTGGACCAGGAACACACTGAGAAGAATGGGCTGGAAAAGAGGGCGTCCATTTTGGACTAGTTCATTGTATGGTTATGGATATACCCAGTAGAAAAGAAAATTGCTTCTCCTGAGCCATTTTCAGCAAAGAATTTCTGCTGGAGAGTTTGAACTGTGTCTTGCTTGGGACATGCTGAATTTATTCATTTATTATTTCTTTATTACATTTTTATCCTGCCCCAACAACTGTAAGGCTCCCTTATATGTCATGAAATGCCTGTACAGATGGAACCTTAATGAAAATGTCTCCCAGTTTTTGCTTTTTGTGACACCAGGAGGCCTAGACATTGGAAGGACAATCCAGTATTTATAAATCAACAAACAGGAGAACATAATACTTTGAACATACCACAGAAAACACTTGGTTAACTTAAATGAGTTTTAATAATAATGAAATACCTTAACATATACATCTGTCACACTTAATTCAGATTTTTTTAAATTAAAATGCATCTGCTTTTTCCACAGTGTTTGCTTTTTCAGAAAGCTATACATTACTGTTTATAGCAAGGTCACTCCAAGGAGTAGGTTCTTCTTGTTCTTCTGTAGCTGGTAGGTACTGACATGTTTATGATAATATCAATTACAGGTACTAGATTTGAGAAATAATCACATCCCTTGAACATTTTGCCCATTATTTTGATTATTGTAAAGATCAAAATAAAATATACTCTTCTATGATCAGATAGATCATCAGAGCTCCATGATTTTAGAATACACATTTAATGTGATAAATGAAGTCTTGATTACAGTATTTTCTTTGGCTTTAAAAATTATAATATTAATTTTATAGATAGGATGGAATGAATATTTGCTGTGCCATATGGGGTTTACTTTACTATATGTATTCTAGACTCCTGGATTTTTTTTTTTAATTTTCATTTGGGAATTCTGAGTTACATTCGGTTGTATCCCTCTTTTGACCCAAGCACCTTTGATCCAGTGAAGGTTTCCTTGAGCAGAAGGGGTGTTCTTTCTACCGATAGATTTCACCCTCCCATTCCACCTGCTCACCCTTTCCCAAAGGGCCTTCCAACTCTCTGAAGAGTTGAGGGGGCTACAGAGGGAAGGGAGAATAAGCAAACATTGCTTTCCTCCTTCTACTAATGGAACCACTTGCTCGATCTGAAATGTCTTTGGCACAGGTGGGAAGGAGACATACAATTAGGTGGTAAATAACCCAGCTTATATTGTCTTCAAAGTGATCAAGAATGTTAATATGGCCCGGCTATTCATTTCACTGTGCAGTTTCCTTCTCATTTCTATACTGAAATCAAGTAACATTGGTGGTTTGACCTTTTCTGTATTCTTTTTATGAAGGGATGGGTATGCTGGCCAGCGTGTATACAGATGATCAAGAAAGAGGCAATGCAATGGGGATTGCCCTGGGAGGCATGGCTATGGGAGTATTAGGTCAGTATAATAAAATTAACTGGAGCCAAACATGCAGTTTTACACTGTTCTGTGAGTTCCTTGTTCATACATTGCATAAACAAGGCCCTAATACTTCAAAATGCAATAAATGCATGCTTTAAAATTTTCTTATATGGTAATCTGTGTTTACATGTGGATACATTTTGGAGATGACATACATTTGGTATTCTGTAACTGTTCTTTGAAAGTTATCTTATTTAGGCTACAATGCTTGTCTGAGAGTAAGCACCACTGAACACTGTGGGACTTCCATCTGAATAAACTTACATCTCATCGCACTGTTAATTGAATTACTTGGCTGGGAGTGGGGTGAAAGAATTCAGTTTTTAATGTATAGATATATGCCCTCACCCTTGTTTCATAGCCCATTTTAGTGGTATAGATAAAATCTGGCATAGTTATTTTAACTTCAGAAGCTTTTGCAAATGCCACGGGCAATGCTCAGCCACACATATCTGAATTTATAGCAGATACTGCTTCCTGTCCGTAAAATCCAACAAAATGCATGGGTTCCACAAAGGTTTGTTCAGCCGTACTCTCACCTGAAGCAGGTCCCTGAGTCTTCTAAATAAAAACTATGAGTCTCAACATTTCTGTGGCAACTTAAAAATGTTCATTTTCTAGGAAAGTGATACCCTTACTATCACTGGGACTTTTTCCATAGTTGGATAGGATGTTTATTTGCAAATATCAAGCAGAATATTTATATCAATATAGATTATTGGTGACTTTGTCACTGATTTTATTATGATCCAAAATATCACTGAGTAAATTAACTTTATAAATGGTAATTTTACTCTCATAGTGGGCCCACCTTTTGGAAGTGTGATGTATGAATTTGTTGGGAAGGCCGCACCTTTCCTGGTGTTAGCAGCATTAGCTCTTTTTGACGGAGGTAAGCAGAATGAGTGTTTATGTTCTGCTTTTAAGAGTGATACTGTAATAGACATTATTAAAAACAGCACTACTTTATGGTTCCTTTTCCTGCAGCAATACAGTTGCTAATTCTACAGCCTTCTAGGATTCAGCCAGAGGTAGGTATTTCACAACCGGTTTCTTCCATTCTTTCTTTCTTAAGAAAAAATACGTTTATGTTATACTTTTTTAACCATGGCCCTCTTTATCTTTTGAAAGAGTCAGAAAGGAGCATCACTGCTGACACTCTTGAGGGATCCTTACATCCTTACTGCTGCAGGTATTTGCAATTATTACATAGCTTCAATTAAAAAAAAATGCAATTGTAGCCATTTGTATTCTGCATTTGGTAATCTGTAGGAGAAAGGAGTAAAAAAGTGGTAAACGCAATTGAAAATTCAAATTTCAAGCTCTTGTTTGAATAGAGCTTGAATTTTATTTCAAGCTTTTGAATTTTGAATTTTATTTCAAGCTCTATTCAAACAAGAGCTTGAAATTTGAATTTTCAATTGCGTTTACCACTTTTTTACTCCTTTCTCCTACAGATTTAATTCAGTAGTGTTTTTCCTCAACCATTTTTAAGGAGACCCTCAATGAGAAGACTGTAGAGGTGGGCAATTTAAGGAATGGAAGCTTTTTTGTACCTCTTTTAGGCACAATTAACATTTCACAAAACTGTGCAAGTTTTTGAGTTCTCCAGAACTCTTCTTCATTTCTCCATACCCTGCTTTTAGTACCACCTAGCCTAATGAAGAATTCTGTAGAACTCAAAAGCTTGCTAAATTTTGTAAGTGGAAGAGCCTGTTAGCATTTGTCAACTCGTCCTAAGAAATGGTTGAGTGAATCCTTCTGAGTATTGCTTGAGAAGTTCAGCAGTCTTGCTGGATTACACAGACCTCCTTTATCCTAGAACAGAGATGAGAAACGTATGGTCTACAGACATGGTTAGGCAACATTTCCCATCATCCTTCACTATTGGCCGTGCTGGCTAAGACTACTGGGAGTTGCAATATGACATGTGGAGAGCCACAATTCCCCTACCCTTGCAGTAGGAACGCTGGATGGGACAACAAGGACAATGGAAACCTTGCTTGATCAGAAGTTTAGAAAAGAAGGTTCTATTTCAGGGAAGGTTAGTCAGATTTCAGTGTCATTAAAATTAATCAGCAATGCAACTAACCAGCATTAAAACTCCATTAATTTCAAGGGTGACCTAAAGTGCAGCTGATTTCCTTTGGAGTATACTGAGAATTATATCCACTTTTTATATTGATGGTATGTAATTACGTTAGGATGTGACTTAATTCTTCATGTCACTGTTTTAAGTAGAATTTGTTAGTCTATAAAAAATCACGAAGTGTCATTTCCCCCTCCTGACTTGATAGCTTTATCTTTACAGCAGTGGTACAATACTGAATGTCTCAGCTAGATGGATGGGGGACAAATTTAGAGATAAACAATATTAAAAAATATAAGATATTTTGAAGGGGAGAAAGGTAGATACTTAAGTCACATATTTGAAGCTGTGATTTAATATCTGACTGCACTAAAAAAGGATAAAACCTAGCCATGTTGACAATGAATCAAGCTGTTCTTTGTAGTCATTCTAAATTATTGAATGTAGAAGTTGCAAAAGGAACTAATGGATTTTGCCACACTTATTTAAGTTGAATGTGCCTGGCTTTAGGGAGATGAACATACCATAGGAGGCAGTGTTTGTTTTCCATCAAGTCAATATTTAACATGCATAGGTTTATAGTGTTTATTTTCCATTCTGTATTATACCATAGAGCTTTTGATTGGTAGCCATGTATTTCTGTCTAAAAGTACTTTGTGGCTAATTCCCTACTGATAATGTTGACATTGTCTAGCACAAGCTTGCAAGTGCAGTATTAAAAGATCGTTCCTTTTTAATCTGTTTTTTTTTAAACAAAAGCAAGTATCACAGTTCATTACTAAAAATGCTAAAGAACAGGTAAAGTTTGGATTTTTTTTCTCTCTATAAGCACGAGTGGGTTTCTAAATTGGTAATAGACCATGGGTTAGGGTAAATATTATAACCTGAAAACTACTGTGGTTGAGGCTTGGTGCAATTTTTATGTGAACTGCTTCTGCAGTTGGTCCACTGCCATTTCCTCTCAGCTTCAGATTGCATAAAGAAATAAATGAACATGGGAATGTGTTCCCAAAAAGTTTGGATGGGTGAGACTCTTGCCCAAGACCATCCATCCCTTGTTGAGCAGCTCAGCATAACCAGAAGACCCTCTTGCCAACATTCTCGTCAATTCCTTCTTCATCTTTGGGGTATCCCTAACAAAACTTCCCCCACAAGGCGCACAGACAGATACCAGATTGCAAAAATGGAAGCATAAGCACGTCCCCATGTCTTTGGCTCCTTTCTTGCTAGTGAACATGTTTTTTTTCCAAGGGTACTTCATGTTACACTGAAGAAACAGCACGTGCCCCTAAAATTCCTTCTGTTCTCCAACTGCCACAGTCTAGAATATCTAAATTCTTTGGAAGTATAACTACTTACAAAGCTAAGCAAAGGCTGAGTGGAAGCATGTTATACAAGCTAGATTTGAGAGGACATTGTTTTTGCTATCACTGGGCCAGTTCCTTTTTTACTTGATTTGACCCGTATGAGGGGTGCATTTGGAACATGACTGGCACCCATTTTTATTAATACTCTCTGAATATCTAATAGTTGCATATCATGGGGATAAATCAAACAAAAGCCACCAGCTTTTCCTGCCATGAAATGTTTCACTTGACACATTCATCATTGTCATTTAAAAGAAAAAAAAATCTGATGTAGAAACCTGATATTCTGGGGAGGTCTAGACTAGAGGTCCTTCTATTATGAGGAAACACACTTGTGGTATTTATGCAAAACAGAGTTATCACAGTAGGACACATGATACTGAAGAAGCATGTTTGAAAACGTGAGCTTGCATTTGTGAGAGAAGTCTGAGGAAATGGAAAGGGCACATGTTCAGGGAAATCCTTCATTTCTGTGCTTGATCTTAGCTCAAAACCCTATGCAATGGACTGGAGAGAATTAAAAATGTGTGTGTTGGGGCTAGGCAGGAAGGCAGTGGGAGCAGCACCTCCATTCCCTTCATCCCCAAAAAACCAAGCACAGCCACCACCTGTGCAGACTTTCCTATCAGTTAGCTGCACTGACACCAATGTGATTAAACTGTGGGTAAGCCCACTGTCAATAATCTTGCTTACTTCTGAGTACACACGCATTTCATCTAGCTGTTTCCCGAGCAAAAGGAAACAATTCAGAAGGCTTGAAGAAACAAAATTAATTGTATATAATTATTTCATTTCTATAACATCCCACAGCCAAAGAGTGGTTACTTTTCAAAGGAGAGGGTGAGAGGAGATGATATTTGCAAGTCAGAGAGAAGCTGTAGGAGGGGGCAAGGAAGGGGTGGGAAAGTGCCTGAAGGACCTCTGCTCCTGTAAGAGGCTTCTGCTTCCTCCCCTTCCCCTGCAGCCCACCAGCCCACTGAAACCGCTCCTGCCCCCAGAACAGTACTGAACACATGACACACACTGCCATGTAGCCTGAAGTGCCTGATCCTGCCTAATCTTGGAAGCTAAGCAGGGTCAGGCCTGGGCAGAAGTGGGATGGGTGACTTGCGTGTATGATTCTATGATTATTGCTGTCAACTGCCTAGAGAGCTTTGGCTATGGGCAGTATAAAAATGTAATAATAATAATAATAATAATAATATATAACAGAAGAAAACCACAACATGCAGAAGATGATGCAACAGCCAAGACATAACAGCTCTGAAGCAATCTAGGATATAGTGGCAGAAGCCACATGATGTGTTGGGGCAACTGAGCATCATGTGAATGCCAACCAATCAGGCATTGTAGTCCCAATAAAAATGCCTAGTGTGGCTTTTCCCATTGTTAATGACCTACAGGTTGGTATTATCACAGGGAAATATTGGCCCATATGTCATGGATTTGTACAGTGAATTTGACAGCATGAATCCAGATTCTTCTTTGGCATCAGACTTGTGTGCCATAGAAACAAACAACAAAATAAAGACGGGCTTCTTAATAAGTCACTGTGCAAACCTGTCTTTCTATGACTACCTCCTTTTGTGTACCATACTGTAACCACATATAGCATAGTCATATAATAGCGCTGAGTCAGATGGCTGGTGGACTGCAGCTGTGATGCTCCCTGTTAGTGTACTTACGTAGGTACTTATACTCCCCCCCCCATAGTATATCAATCCCTAAATTAGAAACTTCAAATTGTATTTCATACCTTTGCTTCATTCAGAACAGCATTTTTGTATAATGTGTGTGTTGTTGTTTTGTAAAGAACAGTCTTTCTTCTTGCAAAGATGTGCGTTTTCAGTCTGGACCTCTAGTTGCTTTGGCTAGGTCAATATTTACTTCCTCATGCTCATAGATGTATGAGTTCTTCAGTGAGAGACTATGATGGAAAGATTACAGTAGGCACACCATTTTATCTTTCTTTGCAAGAATAGTGCTGAATGCTTGCTTCTTGCCCCCCAGGATCCTAGAGCTATGGAGACTCCAACATGGTTTTGGGGATTCTGCATACACAGGCTAATGCATCTTGGCATATTTGAACAAAGAATGGCAGCAGTGGGCATTTTGTACTGAACTGTGTGCTAAGAGATTCTTTTCCAGGAAAAAATAATTTCTCAGTGGCATAGGACATATTGGACTTAGACTGTAGAGATGAAAAGATCCTGGGCTTCAGCAGGAGTCTGCTGTGTAGTTTGTTTGCTATCAAAAGGGTATGACCAAGTTTTAAAAATACATTTAACACTGAATGTCCTATAGACAGTGTAGAAAGCATATTTCTAGGTAGGAAAAGTTGCATAGACACAGTTTTACATAATGCGTAATCAGTACATGGCTGCCTGTTTCACTGCATGGGTGTGCTAGAATATCGGTTGTGTGTTCTTTTGGTATGTAGACATGGCAAAATGCACCACATGTGAACTTGTTGAATATCATCTAGTATGTCCAGAATATACTGAATAGGCCAGGCCACATGAAGTGTGTTTTGAGCAGTACCGTTTAGATCATGCCCTTTCATGAGGTTTATCACAGATTTCTTTAGCTATATGAGCTTTCTTCTAGACAACGGACCATTGTTATAGTCGGTGCTTTTTTTGTAAAAAAAAAATGGTGCCGGAACTCACCTCTTGGGGTCAGTCACTCTACACACACAGAAACATAATGGTCGCCGCTGGCAGTAAGCACTCAGCGCACGACCACACGACCGATCCCAAGCCAAGCAGTGTTCCAAGCCGAGCAGCGCCCTCACAATCAGCGCCAACACACAAGCAGCCCACAGGCACTATGTTAATGAACCTGCTACGCCCAACAGGGCGATTCACAATCACTTTGAAAAATCCATCAAAAAAGGTGCCGGAACACCGTTCCAGTGTGTTCTATGACAAAAAAAGCCCTGGTTATAGTAACCGTATTATGAACTATATTCTATCCTCCTTTTCAAGTAAGTTATGTAGTCATTTCAGCACTGCCTAGTTCCAGTGAAAATGGAGACAAAGCACATGTAAACACCCTATGAATCAGGTCTTTAGGACCAAAGTAGTATGTACTGCACATATGATTAATGCAATCCACAAGCATCAGAACATGTACCAAAGAGTATCCCTGAATCCATTCTATTAGTGATATCTTTCCAGTAAAGCAACACTATGGTTTTATTTCTAGTGATCAGTAAGACTGTTCGCACAGGGACAAAATACTCAGTTTCATCCTAGTGCTCATCCGAAACTTCTAGAGGAGTGAAGAAAAGGCACCTATGCCTCCAAAAGGAAAGTTTAACTTGGAAGGAGCAAGATTAATGACAAAACACAGCCAGCAGTAATTTGTTATCACCAGAGTATGCAAGCAAGGTATCATAGACTAGGTGGCAAATCTACTTACATTAAAGATTGTGCATTTGCCCTGCTACTAGAATTTAACACGTTTTCTGAATATCAGCACACACTGAATTCCTTTGTTTCCACCTTGAAAATAGTGTACCCTTTTATGTTTATATATTTTGGCAAGTGGGACATATATAAAATTAAATGATATGAGTGACTTTTGTCCTCTTAGCAGTTTAGATGCAATCAGTGCTGTTTATTTGACAAGCAGGTCTTCAAAATACATGTTATTTCTGTCAATGTTGCTCTTTCTAGCTGTTGATTAGAATTTAAGTGAAATAATTCCAGCAATGTGTTTTCCATCTCTCTTCAAGGATCAATATGTTTTTCAAATATGGCAATTGCTATGCTGGAACCAGCGCTGCCTATCTGGATGATGGAGACAATGTGTTCAAGAAAATGGCAACTCGGTTAAGTGCAATAAACTATTTTCTTTGATTATTGTGGCTTTTGATCCCGAGAATGTTTGTGAGAGGCACCTCAAAACATTTAGTAGAAGATGTTTTGTTGTGAAATCTGCCTTTAGCTAATTGAAGTAATATCTTTAGGCTGCTGTCAGCTTTGTATAGTACATGCTCTGCGTAATAAGTACAGTGTGTGTATCCTTCATGCTAGTGACAAGGGCTCAACCAGTTAGAGCAGAGTCCCATCAGAAACAAACAAGAATTGCCTAAATAGCCTTTGTTATATCATTCTTAAGACATTCTTGCCCGCTCTCTGTTTTACTTGCTTGGGCAATATCTTTTTCTGCTCTTCCTCAAGAACACAAGCACAAAATGGATGTTTGCATAATGACTTATATTCAGTGTTGTCTGTTTCTTAGCCAACAAGGGACGATGCTAGTTCAACTAATTCCTGAATGAACCCAAACACCTAAACATGCTCTGGAGGGTGGGGAGTTTCGTTTGCAATCTATTTCCAAGTACCATTCATGGTGCTGGTTATGATCCATCAAACTCTATATGGCTTGTGGCAAGGCTTCTTGGAAAAGTTTCTTCTCTCAAACAAGCCTGTTTGGATTCTAAGATCTTCCAGGATGGCCCTTCTCTCAGTCTTGCTGGCATCAAATGGTGCGGATGGTAACATGACCTTCTTGGTGACTTTTCAACTCCTGTCATATTCTTCTGAGGAAGGCAAAATTAGCCTTTGTGGTCCTTCTTCTGGTGTAAAAGCTGAAGGTGCTTTTAACTGGTTAACCAGTTGTTTATTTGTTTTGCTATTTTACTATCAAATTTTCATCAAGATTTCACTTTGTTTTTTGCTTTGTATTTAAACATTTGCTATTTCGAGCTCAATTTTGGTGAAAGTCAGAATATAAAAATAATAAACAAATACATCCAGTGTATGAAAAGCCAACTTACTTGATCAAAATTAAAATTACTATTTATTACATTTGTATTCCATCTTTTCTGTGAAGCATTCAGAGCAATGAACTAGGAGTTTTTCCCTCTTCACCCTTGTAACAACCAAGTGAAGTAACACCACAATTATTACACACAATTATATTGTATATACACATAACTCCTGTTACACCAAAGGAGGTGTGTGTGTGTGTGTGTGTGTGCTGATTATAAGTGCTATTTTTAAAGTATTGCTTAAAATTTGATGGATAATCTTGCTAGATTGGACGAAAGGCTTGAAACAAACAGGATATTAAATTTTTTGGTTCAGGCTGTAGACCTTTATTAGATGAGTTCTAATCAAAACTGCAGTGTCTGAATTTATTACTTTTTCCAATGCCTCACTGAAACCATTGTTGATTAGATATCCCATTCATATTTTTCAGGTGTTGCTTTCATTCCAGCCAGTGTCTCTTATCTGATTGGAACTAATATTTTTGGGGTTCTTGCACACAAAATGGGACGGTATGTTGGATTTACACATATCTCATTCCTTTACAAGGGCTATATGCTGTTTTCTAATTTCTCTTAAGATATTTACTTGATGACACACATACTGTGACCTTGGTAATAGAATGTCGTGCCTGACGCCCCAACAGAGGCAGCACCTCGCGAGGAGGATTTAGGCTTGAGACTCTGTAG